ATCAAAGGAAAAACAGTCTGTGTCTTGGGACTTTATCTACTCCCACTCAATAGACACAAAAAGGCCAAGAAGCATGATGATCCATTAAATAGAGTATTGGTCCTGAGGTCAAGACATGAGATTCAGAGGGAGATGATGAGTGGACAACTGCAGATGATGCCTTTTTCAGTGATAGCCTCTGATTCCTGGCAACAACGAGAAGAGTTCACTAGGACAAAAGTCCAGCCCCCTTATAGTAGGAGGCAGCCACAGTGCTTAAAAGTCAACTGATACATGTGAGACGGAGAGAGAAGAAAACAGGAATTGGGGTGGAGTTGGGAGGAAGGCATGGTCAAAAGCATAAAAAAAAGGATGGACATGGTACAGTGAGCAGAGAATCCTGCTGGGAGGGTAGCGTGACAGGTCTGGAGCATGAAATTCTCTGTTTATCTGCAGATCAGTGCACTGAAGTAAGCAAAATACAAATACCCTTACACCAATCTGCTCAGCTTCCTCAAGACTAACGTAGAGGAAATGCTTCTAAAGTAAATTTCACCCCCTCAGCTTCTTCTGAGATGGCTGAACAGGCACATGATGGCTTCATGATGTGCAGGTTGGTCTGCTTGGACTGAAACAAATAAGTCTTCAGGCACAAGATGCTGATCAGCATAGTGATGCCTTTCAGTTACTGTCAACATGTGTTGACTAAGTGAAGTTGTGTCCTGCTGATGGAATCTACATGTGCACTTTACTACAGAGGTGACTAATTAGCTCAGCAGTGAACTGTTGCTGTCTACACATATGACTGTATTAGGGCGCAGGAAACTAATGAATTCTGCTATAGGATCATACTATCTGGGACAAGAGAAATCCTACAGTGGAGTAGTTAAATGCATCGAAATGCACATGTAGACGGTGACTGGGGCTGGCTGGGCATGAGGGTGCTACAGTGCAGGAGTTGCCTGCCCGGCCATGAGGGCAGTGGCCACGAGGGCCATGAGTGCCTGCCTGCCACAAGGCAGCGCAGGAACTACTCTCATGCACCAGTCAGCCCCTCCATAGCAGGCTGACACCCTGGACCTCCTGCCAGATGGGGCTACTGTGCCCCAACTCAATGTGCTGTGGTCCTGGACGCACATGCAAATGCAGCGCCCAGGAGCAATGAGCTGTGGTGCAAATGTCATGCTAATTGCTAATTAACTAATTGCACTTGTAGACGTACCCAGTATATGGCCCCTTCAGAGCCTCTCCCATTCCTGCAAGCTGAGTGTTCGCAGCTGTCGCGTATCAGGATAGATGCCAAGTGTTTGCAGCGTTCTGGCTGTTGAGATTGGAATCATCTAATCCTGTTTGTGATAGCAGAACTTGGGCATAGCGTCATTCACAGGTGATTTATTTGCATAGGGGTTGTTCAGACTCATTCATCTAATCTCTTCAAAGGTCAAGCTGTCCTGGAGCTAAGGATACCTGTAACTCTCATTTAAAGGAGCTCCTTTTCTTTTCCTTCTCTTCCAGTTGGACATGTGCATTCTCCTCGTGGTCTTGGCAACTATCCAGTGTGTAAGTACAGCTCTGTGGTGAGCCTTCAGAAGTAAGGGAAGGCATGCTTTAGTTCAGGGGCTAGCAAAATATGGCCAGCCAGGCAATTTCATCCAGCCTAGGGGTATACACCAATTAATTGTACATTGCCCAGCCTGCACGTTTCACTCACACCCCTGCGCATGGGAGGGCCCCGGCCTCAGCCAGCATACACAATTTCCAGGCAGGGCTGCTGCTGCTATGGCTGCAACTGCTGGGGGACCTGCTTGGCTTCCCTGGCCTCTAGTGCCGCCTCCTCGTGTCCGTGCTGCAGCACTCACTCGGGGCAGCAGGTAGGGAAGCAGTGGCGGGTGGGGAGAAGCTGCAGCTGGGTGGGAATGTGGAATGTGGGGCTGGGGCTGGCAGGAGCGCAGAGCCCGGGGCCCCACCATACACACACGCTCCCCCCGCCAAGATTCAAGAATAAGACTTTATGTTGAACTATTACGCAATCACCTGTATATACACTATGTAAACACGCACAAATCAGGACAAAAATATTTTTGTAAATAAAATTAAAATGTGCTATAGTAGATGTTTGACTTTTGGTATATGATTTGGTTTTTTTCTGGTTCCAAGATGGCAACCCACCCCTCCTAAAAGCAGTACTTCTAGGAGCAAGGGGAGGGATTTCTGATGGCAAAGATCACAGAGTTAGGTGCTGGATTTCTGGTTCCAAGATGGTGACTAGGGAGTGGGGCACCTGTCAAGGGGTGGGGCTACCCTTGCGGCCCTGGACATCTCACCAAAACTCCTTAAGCGGTCCTCCAGCCAAAATAATTGCCCATCCCTGCTTTAGTTGAATCCTATGAAATTACAGCCCACGTTCACCAGAGAACCTCAATGTATGCACTTCTATGTGAACTGTGACACAATCTAGTTCCAAAAAGAGAAAAAACTTCAGGACATTAGTTAATATTTGCATAGTCCAACAAGGGGAAGTACTTCAATAGTAGTAAGCCTCTGTAGCTACAGTTGATAAGGTGAGTACACATTGTGTTATTCTTGATTGAAGAGGCCTGCTCAAGTGCCCTAGCGCCAAAGAAAAAAACCTGTGATAAGTGTCTGCAAAGAACTACTTGTGAGTCAGGAGTCATGATCTGAGTATCCCTATTTTAAGCATATGATCTCTCCCTACACATAACTCGGACTAATACTAACAGGACTTAATCACATGATGGGAGAATAGCTCCATAAATATGAGATCAACATTGTTGTAATCTGAAACAGGCGGAGGGATTAAATGTTGATCTAATTCCGCGAACTCAATATACTGTGTCTTTACAAGATATACCAGATTTCATGGTGTATAAGTCCAGTTTTGAAGCCTAATTTTTAACTCTTAAAATTCAACCTCAATTTATACACTGTATCACCATCCCCTGTGAGTGGCATTGGGCTTAGTGCTTAGCTGGTGCGGCCCAAGCACCTGGTGCTCAGCTGGTGCATCCCCATTCCCTGTGAGTGGTGCTGCTTGGACCATGCCAGCCAAGTGCTGAGCCTGGCCCCATCTTCTGTGAGCAGTGCTGCTGAGCGCTGAGCCTGGTGTTGCTCGCAGGGGATGGGGCTGGGCTTGGTGCTCAACAGCACCACTTGCAGCAGACAGGGCCAGGCTTAGCACTTGACTGGTGTGGCCCCATCCCTTGCGAGCGACGCTGGGCTCGGTGCTTGGCTGGTGTGGCCCAGGAAGTATTGCTCACAGGGGATGGGGCTGCACCAGCTGAGCACTGAGCCTGGCCCCATTCCCTGCGAGCGGTGCTGTGGCACGTGTCCATCCCCTGGGGGCCCAGACCACAGTGTGGGCGTGCAGGGGCTGGTGTAAGTCAACCCCGTATTTCTGATCCAAAAAGTGAGGTCAACTTATACACCGGATCTACGAAATTCCTAACTTTTTGGATCAGAAAAATGGGGTCGACTTATACACCGTAAAATACAACCTATACGCCATAAAATATGATAAGTATTTAAATGGAAATAGCATGGCAAATATTTACAAGTTAGTTGTTTTCTTTCTTGGGACATTAAGTAACTTTCGTGTAGCTCATAGTTCCTTGCTGTGTTGAGATATTCTTGTTTGTTCTGGATGTTTCAACTCCTTATCTTTTAGTCTCTTACAGTTGTTTATTGAACTCTGGGTCAGTTTATTCAGGTTTAATGACTCCCTTCCACTGTATGTTTTCATTTCAGACAGAGGGAGTACTCAATTTGCTATTGTAGGTTTCTTTTAAGGGGTTGATCTTAGGTCACTGGTTGAACTGGGAGAGGAATGACATGGATATCTATATGATCTTCTTTTTTACATATGGTTCTTGTTTGTCCTTTACATTCCTGTTTCTGTCTGGGTGAGGAGCTTTTAGTGAAGCTGAAAGAGGAATGTGTGCATTTCCTGCAGGATACTGTCACTCTACATTTGAGGCAATGTCTTCAGTAAGGAAAATGAGTGAAAGTGCAGGAAAGAGAGCCTTTTGCTTTATCCACAAATCAGAGAAGGAAATGACCTGAGTATTATTCCTACCTCTGCCTCAGACTAAAGTGTAAACCTTCAGCAATCACATAAAGTGGCTCCATTCTGTAACTTGGTTTCTTCATCTTTAAAACAACAGGATGCTTGCCTTCATTCCAGTATGGTTGTGAGCTTTCATTAAAATTTACACAGTACCTTGAGCTCCCCTGTCATAGGATGCTGCAGAACCGCGAGCTGCTAGTATTAGCATGATTCACTTGGTGGTCATGACAGACTCTGAGTATTCAGTCCTCATTGTTGCAGTGTCCTATTCCTGAGTTGGAAGACAAGAAATGCATTTATATTTAAAGGTAAAATTGTATAATTACTGAACATTAGATAGCAAATATTTCATGATTATCAGAATGCTGGTCTAGTTACTAGGCAGATCTATCTGTCCAGCAATAACATTCAATATTCCAGTGGGGCAACATTGAGTTTTAAAAAGCCTGAGGTTTAAGTGTAGCTCCTGCACTCTTCTCATACTTTCACAAAGACCTTTTTAAAAGGGCTCTGTGATAAAACTAATGCTGCAAAAAAAATTAGGGGCATTGCAAGGAAACACATTATCTTCATGTACCCCAGAACATTAATTAATTAAACTTGTTGCTGAAAACTTTTGCTGTTTGGCAAATATTTGAAATGTGAGCAGGAGCCTTACAGTTGTACCTAATTGTGAGAGAATTGACAGACAGGGAATCATCATAACAAAGAGCTTCATTCCCTTAACAGTGTGGCTTCCAATTTTTCCTTCTTCCCATTAGTAGCAGGCTATCCATTTAATCCTACTGGGACGCAGAGACCTATAATAGAGGACCCCTATCCCTATTATGGGGGTCATGTACCTTTAAGGATGTAGGCTTAGAGCAGGAGCCACACCTCCTTTTGGGGCTATATAAGAAGCCTTGCTAGAAGGCTTGGCAGATGCATAGGAGACAGTTTAGGAGTAGGAGATCTGCTAGGGGAGAAACAGGGTTAACTCAGGTAAGCTATGGGGGTGAACCAGGCCTGGAAATATCGTTGGTGAGGCAGGTGGTGGGCAATTAAAAGTAGGCCTTGATGGGAGGCAGTAAAACTGTCTTCTGCATCAAAGGCTGCAGTTAGGCTGGACCTATGGCACCCTGGGATGCAGGGAGAGAGAGCAAGAACAGCTGGGTTTGGCTGAGATGTAGGTGGCTGGGCCTGTGGATAGGACTTGGGGCGGGGGGCAACTAGGAGGTTAGCGGGGTGTAGGCACAGGTTACTGGAACAGAGAGGGGAGATCTGAGAGACCTAGTCTGAGATGTAAGCTGAGATCAGGAGCCAGGGGTCAGAAAACTAGTGCTGAGTTTCAAGGAAAATGTGAGATCAGGGTCCGGAAACCAAGCTGAGTCAGGATGCCAGGAAAAGCAGAGAGAGCAGAGCCAGTTCCCAGTTTCAGGGAAGATCTTGGATTAGAGTTGGGAAAAGCTAAAGCAGTCAGGAGAACCAGGGAGAGCTGTGAACACAAGGGTTGCTGGACCACTGTGGCTGCGTGACGGTGCGTGTCTGAGGCTGTAGGTGTGTTTAGAAAGGGCAAGTGGTGCTTTCAGCAAACAAGCTGGCTGCAGAGAACTGGGTTAGCCATATTCCTCAAGGATCGGGGGCTCATGTGCTTGGCCCAGTCAAGCCTGCTTGATCAGAGACACTAGGGGCCGCAGCGAGGGTGTCGTCGCAAGACTGCAACGTGTCTGTTATTGGAAAACAGGGCTGTACAACTGGTGGTCCACAGGCCATGTGTGGTCTGTGACAGGGTAAGCTGTTGCCCTGGGCTCCTGCCTAGCTGACACTTCCCTCATCACCCCCCAACATCGCTTCAGCTTAAGCAGCAGCCAGTATCCACTCCAGGCTTCCCCTCTGCCTCCAGCATATGCTTCCTATCTCTGCTGCAGGGGCCAGGGCATTGAAGCACGGGCCTGAGAGCTGAGGGGGAGGTTCGGGGCATGGCGCAGCAGCTGGGGGAGGGGGCACTGGCATAAAGTGCAGTGGTACCCAAGTGGGAGCACAGTTTGGAGGGGGTGGGCCCTTCGTGCAACCTGCACAGAGTGTAGCCCTGCTGGTGGGGCTCCCAGCCACTTCCAAGTTGGACAGTCCTTTTGTAAAGGGCAATGCATGCAACAGAAGGCAATACACTAAAAAAACCTGACCCTGAAGGAAACATTTCAGTTGCTGACTGGCAAGTATTCAAACTCTCTATGCTGCAAGGACATCCCACTTTTCTATGTGAGTCAAAGTCTTGTACTTCCCTAATATTTGTAGTTAAGCCAATCAAGGAACTATGAACCATAGTCTCATGATGCTTTTTTACAGATGTTAAGATAGCGTTGTGACTGCTGAATACCTTAAGCTTTAGTGTGATACTGAGTGCTGATGTTACTGATGCTCAGAACAGTCTCTTTTTTCCAAGGAATAATTAGTGCATGGAAATTTATTTATGGAGTTTGGAAAAGGGTAGCTGAAACAATAAGGGGTGGGTCGAAACTGGTGTGTAAAAAAACAAAAAACCAAACCAAAACAAACAAACAAACAAAAGTACCGGCACCTCTGTTGTAGCCAGGTATTTTTGAGAGGTCATTTATGCGATGCATCTAATGTGAAGTGACAGCTGTGACTGCTCTTCTGAGAGGCAATAAACCTTTCTGTACAAGTGCTGTCCCTGTCCTTTACTGGAACTAACTGATTGAGCTGGCCTCCCTGGAGCTCTGAGAACTGTCAATAATGAATCTCAAGTGTATCTTGTATATATTGACCAGATCAATATGTGGAGGGAATATTGATTGAATCAGGTCTTATTTAATCTTGTATCAGTCTGGCTGCCCTGAGTTATTTTCATAATTGGAGTGTTAGGAAACACTCTGGCTGGAAACATGCAGCATCTTCATCTATCCAAACTGAGCTCTGTTGTATCCAAACTTGTGCCCTGTTCTGTGGGGCACATACTAAATTGAGAATATTGACAGGTCCTAGCTGTCCAAACTTGTGAATGCTTCAGTTTAGTATGTGACTCTTCGCGTTTCTACAGAGATGGGTGGGGAGCAAGAAGAATAATCATCCTGGGGTGGAGAAGAAAATTGTCGGAGGTTGGTGCTCAGTGCTAAACACGTTGCTGAACCTGGAAGCCACCATCTCCCCAGCTAATATGGAGACCAGCCAGCAGTCCTCATGTCCTAACTAGCTCATTTGGGCCTGAGGAGGCTACCAGCTGTTCTGACTAGCTGACACCCCACATTTTAAGAACAGCCCAAAATGCTACACTCTGGCTACACAATGCCCTTCATTCTAGAAGCAGCTTCCAGACCCCGCATACATCCAGCTCTGTATCTCAGTGCCACCTGGACCCTCTAGTACCTCCACTAGAGTATGGCCCCTGAGTCTTGGCAGTGCTCCATCTTGGTACGTCAAGCCCAACCATTGAGACTGACTGACTGCCCACACCTTGGTAGTAGTAAGACTGAGCTCATGTGCACAGAGAGTGGCAACTTTCTTTTTAGTTGCGATGCAGTTGGCTCAAAAGATGATTCCAGCTTTTAGATCATATGTTCCATGCACAATGCCTTTACTGTAACTGGGAAAGGAATTAAAAGCAGTACCATGAACAAATTGCACAATCATAAATCCAAGGAAGAATTAGTCAGAATGGAAGAGGAGCTTTTTCTTCTTTTTTTTTTAAAGAAAGAAACATTAAAGTTAAAGCTGTTGGGTTATCACTCTCTATAGACAGCATGATGTGACACTTATCTTGATTCTTAATTCCACTTTCTCATTAAAGTGGCCTAACTTATATTTCTAATTCTCTCACCAGCTCATGGAACCTATTGTTTTACCTTACTGCTTTTCAATGCGTTTCTAAAACTGGCAGGCAAGAGATGTCCACAAAAGACATGTAGAAATCCCATATTGACTTGTGTGGAATGAGTAGCTGCTGGAGCTAGGTGAAATTTTTCAAACGTTGTGTGTATGTTTTATTTATTCCAATACTTCTAAAAAATTAGAGCAAAATATTCTGGAAAATGTCTGATTTCTCCCACCCCCTTTGTTTATTTATTTTGGGTAGCTATAAGAACAACCTTGTAGTTGAGGCCTTGGCTGGGGATTTGAGATGTGGGTTAACTGCCTGGCTCTGGCACCAAATTCTTTTGTGACCTTGATGATGTCACTTAATCTTCATCTCAGTCCCCAGCTCTAAAAAGGACATACCAGTAATTCCTTATCTCATGAGTCCAGTTGAGTTCAGTGGGTTACGGTTTTCCTGCGTGCCAAGATTCTACAGTGAAAGGAGCAGTGTGAGAGTTTCTTCCCTTGGTCCCCTCCATCCACAGTCACTTCAACAGGCAGGATCAGTGATTGGTTTCTATTAGGTGTTCAGATATTTATTTGATAAAAGTGTAAATGATGCTGTGTATAGAATTGTGCTTGCAATTTCCTTTCTATGTGCACATAATCTTATAGGCAAAGCTAGGGGAGGCTGTATGGAAAGTTCCTGGGGCCGTGGAAGGAGACTTAAGTCTGATTCCTGGGTCAGTTCAGATTTGCCATCATCCATGGGCACACAATATAGGAGTGAGGGGGATGCAGCTGCACTCCCTTAATCTGCGCAAGTGCATGGAGCTCCACCTGTGCAGGGAGCACAGAGTTTATGAGATGGTCACTGCAGATGCTTGCTAGAGCCACTGGTTTTGCTCAGCTCTTTTTTGTTTACTTTTTCCTCTTGTCTCTTTTCTCCTGTTTAATCAAACCCAGGATATACAAGTTCAGAAGGGGACAGAACCGTATGAGGAAGGCCAAGCCCAAAGAGGAAGCATGAATATTGAAACCTAAATCGAAAATGGAGCCCAATTTGTCTGTTAGCAGTTTTGCCTGAAAAATGCCCTGGCATTTATCAATTATATGAAAGTCTGAGCATGACGCACGCACTAAGAACGAAATGCCACTTTCAACATATGATCTGGCTGGTGCCGTTTCCATTTTATTATTGCATTACAGTAGAATTCAGTGTGTTTATACCTGTAAATGTAAATACATAGTGAGAGCAGTACTGCCAACCCTACATTGCAAAATACAGCAATAAGAAATGATTATTAAATAAAACTGTTGTTTGGCAGTTGCACCCCCACCTCCACCTTTGATTCCTGCTCCACCCAAAGTTAAAAGTCAACTGCCTGGCAGTGGCATTAGCATGTCTATTCGGGCAGTGCTGAGTCATTTGACTTCATGGCTCATTATAATTTACCTGATTCCTTCTAAACTTTTTATTCAACAGGTATTAATGGTCCTCTTTTTTTTAATGGTCTTGATGTTCCACCAGTTAAGCTTCCTTTGTTTTGCAGTTCTGCTGGCTGTTAGCTGCTCCTGTTAACGTAGCTCCTATTTCACAGCCCTGCAGACTGTCTTTAACTCATTGCAATGAAACTATATTTGTTTTTGCTTCAATCTTAAACTGAATAATACAGCCCTGCTCCCCTGATATATTAGCAAAGCTTCTAGTTTCTCTTTAATTGGAGAAAATGGGATGGGATGATGCACCTCACCATTTGCATCCCCCTCTTTAAAATTCTAGATCCACCCATGAATGGATCCAGCATATGTTGTGATACAAGTCAGTTAAAGGTTAGTACCTCAGCCAGTGTCACAGGAAAGTGTTCTCTGGCTTAAATAGGGAGATTGAGACACCACTGGATGCTGATGGCTTAAGGCGCAGGCAGAAGTGACAATTTTTGTGTGATCTGGCTCCTGAAACCACTCTACAACTGTGACCAAACACAAGTGTAAAGCTGCAGAGCACTTCAAAAGGGCCCAGTCCCACAAAAATCTGAATCCGCATTATATGAGGCTTCAGATGAAGGAGCTCCAAAGCAGAGAGCCTTCATTAACTTGTTTGTCCTTGCCAGCAGCAGGACTTGCCTGATGGAGCCCAGACTTGCTCCCAGTGCTGTTTCTGAAGTGGGCGGGGGGGGAGAGGAGAGGGAGCAGAGGGAGCTCATTCTGGGGGTTGCCCTGCTGCTGCTGGAGGGTAGGGTGGGTGGATTGGAGTCCTCCCCGTCCTCCCCCTCCGCACCCCAGAGTGGGTGGCTTCAGTCAATCCCCCAACTCTAGTGTGGCTGGGGAAAACCCAGAATGGGCCCTAGATCAGCTCCAAGTTGGAGTTGGCGCTTGCGTTTGTTCTTTATCTCCCCGCCCCGACCCAACAGCTAAAGTCTGTTGAGTCTGGAGGATCGGTCTAACTCATGGCACTTTATGACAGTTAGACCCCAAGAGCTGCACTTCTGACTGCACCTATAGGGAAGAATAATGCTGCAGTAAAGGGAAGATTTGAAAACATATTATGATACTGCAGTAAATGTGATATTTACAGCATGTCAGAAATGGGTCAGTTTAAAAAAAAAAAAAGTGAAAACTGTTGCAAACATGGGGAGCCATTTTAGCTGAAGCTCAAAAATGAGACAAATTGCCATAGTTCTGAATTTTTTCATTTCGCTCCAGTGGCAAGTTTAGTTTATACAAGTCATTTATATAAAATATTTATCAATAGTCACATATTGATAACGTGTTGGCATTCCTATGTTAAAAAGAACCTTAATAGCTTTGCAAATGTTTTAAAAAGCTTTGCTACAATTATTGAATCCAGCAAGTACACCTCATTTTCAAATTGTCTACATTGCAAAGCTGTTAAGGACACAATTAAAGTAAAAATAGTAGAGACCCTGTAAACCTATTTAAGAAAAAAATTGTGATGACATGATCCACCTTCAAATTCAGGTCAAGGCAAATATGTTGGGATTTGCAAACTATTGGAAAATCCTAAATCAGACAATGAGACACAAAGTATTTTCAGATGTGATTTAAATTATTTTCACATCTACATGTGGACCTTACAAGAGATTTCTAAAGCAGTCTGGGGGTTTTAGACACAAATCTGCAATTGCAACTAGTGTGCAAATCTGCAATTGAACATGGTGGGGGATGGAGAAATGTGGTTTGAACCCACAGACAACACTTTAAAAAAATCCATTGCATTGCCTTATAAGCAGGGATCTCAGTTTTCTGTTTCCAACACAAAAATGGAGTAAAACACAGATTCTCCCCCCACTTACTGAAGGAAAACACAGATTTCTCATTTTAATGGACAAACTTGCAAATTTTTGGACCCGTGTCCACCAGATCTGTGCACAGAGCAGGGGTGGGGGCGGGTTGCCCACTGTGGGCTCAGGCTACCGCCCTGCTGCCTCCCCAGGGGTCTCTGCAGCCCAGTGGATGCAACCCGGTGCTGCAGGAACAGCGGGGCCAGGTGGGGAAGCTGCTTGCTGCTGCAAGCTCCGTGCTGCCCTGGCAACATGCCCCCTAGGAGTGTGCACAGTGGCAAGGAGCTGCTCCCCTGACTCCCCCATCTGAGCCTGCAGCGGGGGGGGTGGGAAACCAGGCTCTGCTCTGCTTCC